TTAACAAGTTGAACATTGCTGTTACAGAGGACATGCTAGGGATTTCACAGGTTGATCATAGCACATACTTTTAGTTCTGCACATGCCAGAGGGCCTACAGTGTTATACAGAGTGTATCACCTTAGAAGAGAGGTCATCTAACTATGTATTGTGAGTTTTCTGAACAGAACACAAGACAATCTCAGCACTTCATTCACTATTTCAATGGTTTTGCTTGTGTAGCTTAGTAAGTTAGATCTGAGGACGGATTTGACCACAAGCTAAAGGTTGTTTTTGTATCAGTGAGTGGCAGTAACTATGCAAGTAGCACCTCTGCTGGACAAATGGCTGGCCAATAAAGCAGAAAAGTGTTGACTTCGTTTTATCAGCATGACACTAAAATTTATGCCTTTAACTGGTCTCTCCAGGACAAGGTATGCAGAAGGGGAGCACATGCATTGTCTTGTATTTTACATCTGCTTTGGTTCCCTTATCCTTTGCTGGATAAAGACACTGAAGGGAATTTATCAAAACTGGAGCAGACAGAATCTGGAGCAGCTGTGCATGGAAACCAATCAGTCTCTCTCTTTCATTTTCTAATCTTATTGGAACAAACTGAAGAGAGAAGCTGATTGGTTGCCATGCACAGCTGCTACAGATTTTGTCTGCTCCAATTTTGAAAAATTCCCCCCACTATACTTTGCAAACTACACTTACAGTGCATACCACCCCTTCGCTCAGCTGATCTCTCTATGAAGGTACTGCCCTTCAGTAAATACAGATTTTCCTGAAAGTGAAACTTTTCTGAAAATCATATGTGCATATGTTTTAGTGATGAAATGGTTACTGTTAACATCAGTTATTACTGAGCTTTATTTAACCTGAAATGTTTCGTGTTTAGAATTTCACCACTGCGGGTGAGCCAGACTCTGCCCGATGTGACACCGTAAAGGTACTAGCTGACCGGGGCTGTAGTAAGGCTGATATCATCAATCCTGAAAGTATAGCATCGTCTGAAGGCTCCCAAACTCTAGATAATGCAGTACAGCTGTCACCAGGGCGAATCAATCTGCAGTTGCGACCAGGTAAGATTGCGTCACACAAAGTAAAGCACAATTATATTATGCATTGAGTAAAACTATCCAGTTTCATATTAGATTTAATTATTATTTGTAATGAGTCCTCTTTTTTTTTTTTTTTTATGTAGAATGCTTCCAATAGCCAATTGTTAATTGGCTATTGATATGCTGAACTATCGGGGTTATTCCCAAAAGGGTGAATAATTTGGAGAAGGCAGGAGAAGTGAACAACCTAGCACAACATAGCTGAACTGGAAAGTGAGCTGAATTTGCAGAATTTTTCAAAATAAGCTATGTTGTCCTAGATTGTTCACTTCTCCTGCCTTCTCCAAACTCTTCACCCTCTTGTGAATAACCTTTTATATCTTTTTTTGGGGGTCGTAATATCTAAACACAGCCTTTTTATTGTAACCAATTTATAAAGCAAAGTCAGGAAGCAATACCATGTATATATAGGTTTAAGATGGCTCCTTAATGTGGACTTTACATTTACAATTGAAAAGTTAGTAGTATTTAAACCCCCTAAAGTCATATCGCCTGCAAAAAGCAATTTTAAAAATAAAACTGTTGCTAAAAAAAAAAAGCTTACCTCAGCCCAGGCTTCCATTCTTTCTGGGATGCAGGGGTGACACCACCGTGCCTCACTGATGCATCCTGCAATAGATGGGGGCTGATCGAAGGAGCATGACGGAAAATTGTCGGCCGAACAGAGCCAGCAGCCAATGAACTGCCAGCTCTGTCCGGGTATTCTGACAGTAGCTGGTGGCTGCTGTCAGAATACAAAGGAAACAGCAGGAGATTCCTCGATCACCACTTGTAATCATTGATGGAGGAATCTGTTCTGTTTTCTTTGTTCCGTCGGCACGTTGAGCGAAGAAAATAGAAGCACGCATTCCGTGACTTTACTCTTTTTACTAATCTACAAATCTCTGTATATAATACAATAACAAAAGAATGGAAGAACAAAAATACACTTTCTCTTTTATAGTTTTCTATATTATTATTGACCACATTAGAAGAGGAAGTAGCTAATCAACATGCAATTAGTATCATTGGGTAAACACCACTCTGGGATTTATGTTGATAATGTTTTTTTTTTTGCAATTTTAACAGGCAAAACTGGCGAATTTGAAGTAAAATTTAGACGAGCAGAAGGTTATCCTGTGGACCTATACTATCTTATGGACCTTTCCTATTCCATGAATGATGACCTTGAAAATGTAAAAAAGCTAGGAGCTGACTTGCTTAAAGCCTTAAATAAAATCACAAAATCTGCCCAAATAGGTAAGAGTTGAGCTTGTACTATATCAAGCCTCCTAACAGCCAAGATTTTAGTGTGCCAGTGCCAATATTAAGGCTTGTTAAGCTTAGATGGGGCTTTTTGAAATTTGGCTACGATAATCGCAAAGTGTATGGAAGGCGTGCAACCGTTTCTACTGTACAGTCGCACGTCTTCCGTCGAACATATAGCATACTCCCCAACCTTTTGCAAACAAGAAAATAGGTCACAAACTTCTTCTATCTAAAGGTGCCCATACACCTTACAACTAGGGATGCACCGATACCGATACTAGTATCGAGATTCTGAGTATTTGGACAAGTACTTGTACTCGCCCAAATGCTCCGATGCCTAGCACGAGTACTTCGGGTATCAGGAAGCCGGGCAGCGCGTCATTACACGCTGCCTGCTTTCGCGATTGACCGGAAGCTGGCCTCGTGTGGTAAGGTTACCTTACCTTAGTATGTGTAGCCTGTCATCCCCCGGGGCCTCTCCAGCGAGAATACGGCCTTCGTCCGGTACCCAGCCCGAGCCGTCCAATCAGGAAGCCGGGCGCTGTCTAATGACGCGACGCCCTGCTTTCTGATTGGCCGGGAAGCTGGCTTCATGCTCCCTCGTCATCTCATGACAAGAGAGCATGGAGCCGGCCTCCCGGCCAATCAGAATGCAGAGCATCGCGTCATTACAAAAGCTTGTACGATCTGCCCATCTTGGACAAGCAGATCGTACTTGCGATCATTATCGCAAGCCTGCCCCCCTGGGGGGCGGGCTTCCGATGACTGCAATGAGGAGCGGGCTTTCGATCACTGCAAACGGGCAGTGTGCGCGTGCGCACACCGGCCAGTTTTCAGCATTTGTCGAACAAGCAGGCTTGAAAACCCGCCGAGAATCGTCCAATTCTTGGCGGGTTAGTGGCCTGCTTGTTCGACAACTGCTGAAAACTGGCCGTTTGCAGTGATCGAAAGCCGCCCCTCATTGCAGTCATCGGAAGCCCGCCCTACAGGGGGGCGGGCTTGCGATGATGATCGCAAGTACGATCTGCTTGTCCAAGATGGGCAGATCGTACAAGCTTTTAATTACCTTACAACCATCGCAAGACAAAAGTCTTGCGATGGTTGTAAGGTGTATGGGCACCTTTAGATAGAAGAAGTTTGTGACCTATTTTCTTGTTTGCAAAAGGTTGGGGAGTATGCTATACGTGACCAATTTAAAGTCAGATTGTGTATAAATATGGAACCTTGCAGTATTATAAGCAACAAGTATGTTCTGGGTTGGTCTGGCATTTCCATCATTTCTGCACATAACATTTTGTTCTTTTTCAGGTTTTGGTTCCTTTGTGGATAAAACCGTGCTGCCATTTGTGAGCACACATCCAGAGCAGTTAAAAAACCCTTGCCCAGATAAAACTACAGCTTGCCAGCCTCCTTTTTCCTTTAAACATATCCTAACTCTCACCCCTGATGGGGAGCTGTTTAGACAGCAGGTTGGAATGCAGTTCATTTCTGGAAACCTGGATCCACCAGAAGGAGGTCTAGATGCCATGATGCAGGTGGCAGTTTGTGGGGTGAGTGATAGATAAGTCAAATATAAGTTTCATACATTTAAACTTAATCACATGAATACGTTTTCAGGAGAGGGAGGTTATTGAGCCAGAATCTTGTTATAAGAGGAATCATAGTTAAATGTCTTATGAATCTGTCTGCTAGAGGCTATATAAGATTCGATTTAATGGTAAGTAGGGATGAGCCGAACAGGTCCGAGTTCGGTTTGAACTTGAACTTTAGAACAACCAAAAAGTTTGAATTCGAACTCTAACTCAATGCACGTCTATGGGGGTAGAACTTTCAAAAATAATTGTCCCCTTTAAGAGGGCTTATATGCAAGTTATTGGCCAAAAAAAGTGTATGGGGATCTGGGTACTGCCCTAGGGGACAGGCAAATCTGTACAATATATAGAACCTGCTGCAGCAAAACGGACATTTCTAAACAAAACTAAAATTAATTGTTTTTTTTAAAGCGTGCAGCTCCCCCTCCCAAACAATACCAGACCCAGATACGCCCTCCCCCCCCCTCGTGAATGAGTAAGGAGTACTTGTACCCCTACCCATTCACTAAAAGGTTAAATAAAAGTGAAATTTAAAAAAAAATACTTTTGGAAAAAATCCTTTAATTGAATATAAAACACAACAAAGGATTTTTATTGTTAAAAATAAAATAAATAAATTGATCCATTGACGTAATCCAGGGTCAATCACGACGTCCAGCGTTGTCCATGACGACAAAACGACGAAATAACAAATAAAACAATAAAAAATAAATAGAAATAATGAAAAAAAAAACTGACGACCGCCTACCCGTTCACTCGTGAGGAACACCTGCCGCATAATGGCATTTTGACAAATGCCGGTAACATATAAACATTTGGGCGGAGCTAGCAGTGGCGGCTAGCACAGCCCAACTGTTTATAGAGTCATCAGGACTTTGCCCAATCATGGCTTCACAGTTCTCTGTGCCCTGATTGCCCTGTGGTCAGGTGCAAGGCTTTAGCCATTCAGGGCCTTCTGCGGGATGCTCGGCGGGCTGAACAGTTTGTGTGTTCGCCAGACACACGAACTGCCGAAGTTTCTAGTTGAACTCACGTTCGTCTCGAACATTGAGCCCAGCGCTAATGGTAAGCTATGTATATTTTTATGATTTTAGGCCATTTGCTTTGAGTGCTTGAGTGCTTAACATTTCCCACTCTGCATTTTACTCAACAGACAGAACTTTGAAACAAGATCAGCATTATGTCTTGGAGATTGCAAGTAAGCAATCAAGGTTCATGATATAGGGCTGTAAATGTAACAGATCTGAAAGAAGACTTTCAATGAAAACGAATAGTTTTTTTGTTGGTGAAGGGAAGAAAGACAGGATGCATGTAAATCATATTTAACGTTACATATTTGCTGTTTAGATCGATTAATCTAAGGCTCCTTTGGTGAATTCCTCTCCTTTCCCACTTCTTTTTTCCTGTTAAACATTTAAGTATTCCCATTTTTGCAGTCAACATGACTTAAATCTTATTTAAATCGTTGGTGAAGCAAGGTTAGGAAAACATTTGAGAAACCTTTTGACAATAGATTTTAACAGTGGTTGTGGTCTCAGGTGGGCTTGGCAGGGTTTGTGGTGGGCTTTGCAGGCTGCAGAGCCCCCTATGGGTTCTGCAAACCCCACCATAGATCCTGCAAAGCCCCCTAAGACCCGCCAAAGCCCACACAGATCCTGCAGGATCTCAGGAAGGCTCTGCAGGATATGTGGTGGGCTTTGCAGGCTGCAGAGCACACTATGGATCCTGCAAAGCCCCCCTGAGACCCGACAAAGCCCCCTATGGATCCTGCAGAGCCAACCAAAGGGTATTGCACAGCACACCTGAGACTCTTTGGTGGGCTGTGCAGAATCTATGCTGGGCTCTGCCAGCACAGTCCTCTTACCTTGCATGGCCTGACCTCTTTGGAACATGGCCTCCTTGTCCTCGGAGCCCGACTGGACGGCCTCCTCATCCTCAGCACCCTGCTACTCAGGGGCCTCCTTATCTTTGTCACCGGACTGGAGCTCCGGCGACGCCTCCCACCTCCTCCTTCGGTGTCTCTGCCCCCTCCATCTTCGCACCCGCCTCTTTCTTCTCTCATGGGGGCCGCTTGCCAAATTTCATACTTTAAAATAAAATGTAACTGTATCCAGTATGGTACTACAGACACCAATATACACACAATAAGGCCCTATTCATATCTGTAGGTTTAGGTGTGATTAGGGATTCCTGCATCAGAACTTGCATTTTACTGCAGCAGAAATCCCTAATCTGGTGTTTACAGGCGGTAGCTATCACTCATTCAAGTTAATGATCAGGTGACAGCAGCTCCATGTAAACGCCTGCACACCGCATGTAATGATACGTGATATGATTACATGCGGTTAGAAAACACTCTCCCTGGATGCACAATCATTGCGTCCAGGGAGAGTGATTGATTCCTACCCGAATGTAAACATATCACGTATCATTACATGCGGTGTGCAGGCATTTACATGCAACTGCTGTCACCTGATCATTAACTTATGTGACAGCTGCCACTTGTAAATGCCAATTTAGGGATTTCTGCTGCAGGAAAATGCAAGTTGCTGATGCAGAAATCCCTAATTGCACCTAAAATAAAGGTGTGAATGTAGCCTAATACGCGTCTACTCCTCCCCACCACACGTAAAAAAAATACAACCACTGTACATATCAAATAAT